TTGTGAGTTAAGTGTACTTAGATTTATTAACTACAGCTTCAATTCCATTAAATTATACATTGCAAATGTGAGCTTAATTATATACAAATAATATCAAAAAAATTTCAAATAATGAAATGCTATACTCTCTGATGAGCTAAATTTGTGCTATAAGATAATGGTGGTGTTTGTATCATTGATGATGTGGTCGATTGAGTTGTTCCCTCTTCTATTGAACTTGAATAACCATTTGTAATCACAGATCTATGATTTATTGAATCTGATTCTGAAGAAGTATATGGTGGAGGTAATCCCATATGATTTATTGTTCTTGTATAAGTTGGCGGCGGCGTTTGAGGTGTAAAGTGGGCATCGTCTATCATGAAATTAATTTCTCTATCGCGTTGCAGTTGTGACGTTTCACTACCAACAGTACGAGGTGATTCTCGACATTTTGAATTAATTATTGCCTTTGTGTAAAAAATTTTTGAAATTTAGAGGATTTCTTACATTTTATTTAAGTTACAAAGTATAACCTACCCAATACGTAAAGTATGAAAATAAAATGACAATTCCAATCAAAATAATTTGTTCCATGGATGGCTCATTCTGTAACATGTAACTTTCTGCCAACCCAATTGCCAATAAACAAACTATAGGTATAAATATGCGTTTAATAAGTTTATGATCTAAAATGTATTCCAAACATGTCATTTGCTCGTAGATTTGAGAAAGTCTTATTATCGAAGGTGCGCGTTAGGAATAGCTTTATAAAGTTATTTAGAGAAAATAGATATATTTAAATTTGATGGGTAAATTTATATTTTATGGATCTTTTACCAGACGTTTATCGTAAATTTATATTTTATGGATCTTTTACCAGGCGTTTATCGTAATTTATATTTTATGGATCTTTTACCAGACTTTATCGTAATTTGATTAGCAAGGTACATTCTTTACTATCTAAGTAAATGAAACATATTAGTTATGAAGTATGAAAATCAGCGAAAATCATGACTTTAAAGTCAAATTTATTTACTCAAATTATCCTGTCCATCTTTGATATAATGGGAGTGTAGGAGTTATGTCATACAATACGCGCGTTTAAATCTTAACAATTATATTATTGTGGATTCTAAAGCTGATGACTAATTTTAGATAGACTGTACATTTATTGTGAAAGACGATTGGTAAATATAAGCAGATTTTTCCTCTATGACATTTCAGCATTTAAACATACTACCAATTCTTATGTTATTCCTTCTGAATCGAATAGTGCCCAGAAATATACACCAATCGGATTCGAATGATCGTCCATACAGTCAGAATAGTTTAAATTACGTATGTACGTACCCGTGCGTACGTCTTTTACCCAAGTAGTAATTTTCAACAGTTACAAGATGCAAATTTGGGTACTATATTGGAAGCCGATCAAAATCCCGACAAGATTAAAACTTGCAATTAAATACCCAAAGTTACTATCGTCGAAAATGCAACCTGAAAGCCAAGAACGGTTATCAAGGAGTTTCATGTTATAAGTAACGCGAGATCAATTATTTGAATTAAACGGGAGTTGGTCGAATAACGGCAAATTAAAAATGATAAAAAAGTAAGAAAATGGATTGTCTTTTTTTGATATCGCGATTTCGCAAAAAAAAAAATAAAAAAAAAAAAAACTAAGTAATCGCTATAAACATTTTCACGGGGACATGATGGTATTGGCTAGCACGAGTAATACAAACCCAAAAGGGAAATTAACCGATCGGAAAAAGATCATAGTTTGAGTTTGTATTACTTACAGATTAAAATGAAATTTGAGGTCTACCCCAAATCTGATCCCTAATCCTAAAATGCCTATTTTAGACTATACAAGATTTCATTTTAATTTGTCATAAGTATTTCCGTGCAAATTTTGCTTGATTACGGTTGTCCGAAGCGAAGTGGAGGACTCATTTCAATGCGCTTTGATAACCAAAATCACAATTTTAATGCATTTATAATAGAAATATCAGGAACGTAGTTTCTGCGACATAAAATGACCGGACTTTTCAGGGTAAGAATATTAATCGACATTCATATAAAAATTCTAGGCTTCAATCTATGTATTTTAAGATAAGCTATTCAAGATCATAACTATTGCTATTACTATTTAATTTTATTCGAGTTAATTCAGGCAAGATGAAAATTTTTAATCCATATCCGATTTTAGGGGCCTCTTTTCGATAAACTGTTACACGAATCTTTGCTATTAAGCGACGTGAAGAATAACAAACGAAACATTCAATAAAAGTTTTTTTTTTAGCCTCTATATGAGATAAATAAACAATAAATATTAAAAAAAAAAACAGCTACGCTAAGCTTTAAAGAAAGCAGTATCACTAGTTGTTGAAGCGTTCGGATATTTTTCGGGTA